AATATTCACCAGAAGTTTTAGAATATCCTAATCCATTACCAGAAGAATTTAAAGCTATTAAACATGAGCAAGAATTACCAAAAGAGTTAAGAGAAAGAATCATTGGATTACTTCTTGGACAAGCAGTTGGAGATGCAGTTGGATTATCTACAGAATTTGTTCGTAAAGAAAATGCATGGTATTTTTATAAAGGAGAACATATAAGATATAACCATTACATCATTGACCAACATCGATCAAAATGGATGAATGAAGAGTATAGATGTGCAGATTGGACGGATGATACAGACCAATGTATTTTAATATTGGATAGTCTTGTTCATAATAATGGAGAAGTTGATGTGATAGACTTTGCAAAAAGATGTTATTATTGGATTCACTTTGGATTTACAGAATTAGGAGATTTAGGAGGACTTGGAATAGGAATGAATTTTGGAAAGACTGTAAGAAGCAAAGGATGGATTAATGACCCAATTGGACAATGTGAGAAAATCTGGAGAGATGGAGGATGTCAATCGGCACCAAATGGAAGTGTAATGAGAACATCAGTTCTAGCTGTTCCATATTTCTGGGATGAAGAAAGGGTTAAAGAAAATGCAAAGAAAATAGGAAGTACTACACATGCAGATCCACGATGTCAAGCATCTGTTAATACAATCGTTCTTATCCTAGCAAAATTATTACAAGGACGAGAAGATATTGAAGAAATAATTCAAGAAGCAAGAAGTGATAGTGAAAAGATGTTAAATGAAGAATATAAGAAAGAATTTATAGAATATACAAATGCTAAAACACTTGAAGAAATGAAATTAAATGAATCTATAGGATATACATTCAAACCAATGGGATGTGCTATCTTATCATTAAGAGAAGCATTTAAGATGAAAGAAAAAGGGATAGATAAAACAAAGATATTTGAAGACTTAATTGAAAGAATTGCATATGAAGGTGGTGATGCAGATACAAATGGAGCAGTAGTTGGAGCAGTTCTTGGAACATATTTAAAAGGAATTTGTATGCCGAGTGATTGGTTAGAATTAGATAATAAAAAATGGTTAGAAGAACGCTTAAATCGGTTATTACATCTTTACGAATTAGAGCCTTTTCACTTTAAGTAACTTTTCATTTTATTTCTTTTTATCTTAAAAGAAACAAATGTCTTAAAAAATGAAATTAATTAAATTTAATAAATGTCATTAAGAATTTGGAGACATCCTTTATAATCAATATCTTTGTGTGCACCAGCTGGATTACCTTCAAACTTTCTTGCAATAGTTTCAAATTCTTCTTTTCCTTTACCCCATTCTGACAATCGTGTTTTCATTCCAATTGATTTAAACCATTTTTCTGTTGCTTCTATTGCTGCTTCTGGTGTACTATTCTTAATTCCAAAGACTTGTTCTCCCATTTGAATCAATTTCTTTGCATTCTTCTCTTTATTAAATCTCATTACTCCTGGTGCTGTAATTGCTAATGTTTCTCCATGTGCAAGTCCATAATAACTAGTTAATTCATGTCCTACTGCATGTGCACCTCCACAAAGTGTAACTCCACATAAAAGTGACATGTTCAATGCTACTGTTGCTGCATAACAGAATGTAATTCGTGCTTGATAATCTTGATGATTCTCTAATGTTTTGTGTGATACTCCAATGATAGTTCTCATTACTCCTTCAGCCTCTGCTTCTGCAACTGGGTTTAAGTGATAACTTCCAATATATTGTTCAATACAATGAACAAATGAATCAACAAGTCCATTTCTAATTTGATTGTCTGGAAGAGACATAGTGAAACATGGATCAACAATTGACCATGTTGGAAAAATTGATTCGTTGTTAAATGATAACTTTAATTTATCGGCATGTCTTGAAATAACTCCCCAACTATTCATTTCTGATCCTGTAGCTGGAATTGTTAAAACTACTCCGATTTTTGCTTTTGCTGGATTTACTTTAAACTTTCCTCTTTTTAGACAAATATCATATGGATCATCAGAATATGTATGTTCCATTCCAAGTGCAATATATTTTGTTGCATCAATAATTGACCCTCCTCCAACTGCAACCAAGAAGTTAATTTTATTCTCTTTAGCAATCTTAATAGCTTTAATACATGTTTCATGTGATGGATTTGGTTCTATTCCTCCAAACTCCACAATTGGCTTAATGTGTTTCAAGACTTCTTCATAAACTCCATTCTTCTTAATA